GTAAGGAGTTTTGACCGATGCTCATGTGGTTTTGTTGATAACCCTTTCTCGTTATGTATTTTCTATAAAGCTATTCAAGAAATCTCTAGAACACCCCCGAGCCTACCCTAGTTGAGGCAGTTTGGATTCAGTGTTTCAGGCTTAGGGTTGGCAGTAAGCAAGTCCAGTAGTACAAAGGTTTAGGGTTCAGGATTTCGGGCTTACCTGGACCCCCCGAAGTAGGTAGAATAATGGCCTGTTGGAGTAATGTCTAGGGCTTTGGGCCAACGTTTCATTTACTCTTGAGGTCCAGGTAGGGCTTTCCGGCTTTGGGTTCGGGATTTGCCGGCTTACGAAGGTCTAGGATCTTTAGATTTAGAGTTCAGCGTGGGCCTAGGGTGCTTGGGTTTGCAAACACGATTTTCGGGAGTGATGCAAAGATGCGCAAAGGCGATGAGGAGTCAAAGGCGATGAGGAGTCCATCCAGTCATTCTTGTGCATGATCATAATTTGCAGGGGCTGTTCTGGCACTTAGTGTAGCACAAAGGCAGCTTTGGCTTGTGTATTGCTGGAGCTCTACAATTCTCGTACGCAAGGGCCATTCTTCGGGCAGCGATCCCCATTTTGAATGAAGAACTTGTGGCTCCCCAGCATGCTGATCCTTTTTCTTAAAAGGGGCGTGCAATTTTAAGGCACACCGGTTCGTGGGTTGGCACCAGAGGAATGGAATCTTCAATCGTGGCCTCCTGTTCTCTTTGCCAACACCATCCTGGGAAGTGACGAGCGCGCATTCTCACAACCAATTATCTTAACGTTAATGGTTATTGATACCGTAGAACCTAGGAAAGTTAGAGAATGTCATCTTGTATCTGTGGAGACCTGTCTGCGGGGGCCCGCGCACTTGAAACAGCACTCAGGGTTTGCTGGACACTGCTAATGTGCAGCTCGAGGCCCTTCCCCTTTCTCTACACTCAAGGTTCTAACCGTGATCATCGGCTGCATCTACATCTCTAACAAGCCGCCAGTGCTGACATGGAAGCGCCTTTCCTGATCTTGGCACTGACCGGTTCATGCAGGGCGTTTGGGGTATGATGCGTGTGTGTGTTGTGGTTACACTGTTACACTGTCTGGCGAAAACATTGCAGCCGCCGCCGCTGCTGCGGTGTGGCTGCGGCTGCTGCTGCTGCTGCTGCTGCTGCCGCTGCTGCTGCTGCTGCTGGTGTCACTACAGCAGCCAACGCCCCAACACCACCGCCGTCACCACAGCAACCGCCGCCGTGGCCACCATCCTGCCTTCCTCCGCCACTGCCACTGCACCCGCCACAGCAGCCCCTATCACCGCCATTCATTCACCACCACCACTACCACCACCGCAACCGCCACAATGAAAATTATGATCAGATTTCCAGCGTAGTTTTGGCTTACTGGCCCTTTTGGTTGGGTGGCACAAGCGGAAACGGAAGGGCCTAGTCACTAATGTCACTTGCCATATTAAGCTCTAGCTAAATCCAAGAACAGCCCACAATTTCTCATTTATACTTGTTGAACTCAAGGTGGAGTGAGTGCGGATGGTCGAACCCAGATGAGTACACGTTGTGGGTGGACTGCAACGACACGTGCCTCAGCCAATCATGAGCTTGCGGTTTCTTGCCTGTCTGTTTGTACAGTCGTAAGCAGTTTCAGTGCAGCCCTGTGCGAATAAAAAAAGTCAGCCTATTGCCACAAAGGCATGCTTGCGCTCGGACATGCTACAGTTAGCGGTTCAGAGTTGAAGTGTGTGAATTCAGCAACCTCCTGGATGACAGCCTGGATGTCCTGGCAGTGAGGCCCTCCCCCGATTTTTGTCTTACCTTCCCACATGAAAAAAAGTCGGGGGATGCTAAACAAAGCCTGTGTGATCCTCAGCACGGTTTTCCACACTTTTTTCATCAGCCTATGCGCCACTGAAGTCCCTAAGGGCAGCCCGTCCCTTTCAGGAACTCATGCATCAGGTGGTGCATACTCCGCCTTACGGGTTAGGGTTGCGTTTTTCAGAATATGCGGACATAATTAGAACAATTTCAGAGCCGTTCTAAATAGGCATGCAAGAATGTGAGTCTACTGTTTGAAGCAGTCCATATGGAGGTTGGGGGATACTTCTGGGAGGTTTCTACTTGGAGGGTCAGGGGGACTTAGCAAGAGGTTTATGATGGAAGAAAAGCTGAGGCTATTGTGTGGCCTATCGGGGCTATAAAAAAAAGCTTGGACTTTAGACCCTTAACCCTTTGGGATTAACCGTTAGCACGGGTCCTAAGTAGCACGTACTACCATAAGCACCCCTGTCTCCGCAAGCAGATGAAGCCATGATGATGAGCCTCTAGCAGAATTCCTTGACGTGATCCCTATGCAACACACAAGCTCTGCATGTACATGTGCACATACGTTTACACACACAATATACATGTGAATGATGTCGATGTTTGTATCCCGAAGGTGTCTACGAACACCAAAATTGAGTCATAATCTCCTACTTGGTCGAAGCTGCAAGACCTCAGAATTGTGGTCAACTTTAAGTCTGAGCACTGCCATCTCCTTCTGCTTAACATGGTCCACTTGGGCATCATTGCAATCATTCAAAGCTCAAAGGCACTGGTCTTCCCAAGTCTTCACCATCAACCCTGCAATTAAATTTTGTTTCTAACGGAATGCTGAGGTGGAAGAGCAGCTGGGGCATGACAGCCCTGCCCAACTACATGGCTCTGATCCTGGGTTATGGGTTAAGGGCTATTAGGTATTATAATAGGGTAGATGATTTTGGCAAACCTAGGGTTTCAAAGTTTTGTCGTTCTGGTTAGTACCATTGTTTGTTTGCAAGTTCACCCTCCTGAACCGCAGCTTGGTTTTTCATCCTGCAAACCCTGAGCAGACCTAGGCAGCCCTGCACTTCAAGCCCGCCAACATATACCTTTATTCACACTATTCCTGTACATTCCTGCATCTATGTAGCCCCCATACAGGCTTTATATATATACATAGAGGCATGTATATACAGATATATATATATATACAGAGAGAGAGAGAGAGAGATATATATATATATATACATATATATATATACATAACTGTTACATAACTCTTAGGGGCCTTGTGCAACTCCCCAGCCATACCTAAGGATCATCGGCGTTGTTGGCGTTGCCATGTACCAGCCTTATGTCCTCCAGGCGGGCCCACTTCACTCCTTACTTTGTGGTTGAGGATGACGGAAGAGAGTTCTCAAAACACAGGTAGCTTTAAAGGGCACGTGGACATCAGTATGAGTTTTGTCGGCCATTACAGTATGCAAAGAGCTCTCAGGATTTGTAAATGCCTAGCAGCCAGCACATACTCAGATTGTCGGGGCATGTGTTTCACGACTTCCTTGCTGCTTGGAGTGAGACAGGTCTGCGGCTTTCCCCGAAACTTTCTGCTACTCGGCATTGGGTGTGTGCACAGGGGACAATGTGTGTTTGCGAGTTGTTGCCGAGGTGCAACCATTCCTTTTTGAGTAGCTGGGGTTTCGGAATGGTAGATCAACTGGCAAGGCCGCCATGCAATTTCCATGAGTCTATTTGCAGTTTTATCGGTGGGCTTCTGGTGTTGTTGAGTAGTTTACGAGGTTCATGGGTGATATTGGGGGGGGGTGAGGAGCAGAACGTTACACTCAGTGGTGCGCATATTTGGGGGACATTAGGCCCCAGTCTGGAAGCCTAGGCAGTACGGCCTCTGGCTCATAGTGCAAGCCTTCTACGGCGACTTCGGCTACTGCGGCAAGCTAGGTGTTGTTGCGCCGAAGCTGCAAGAAAGTATGTCTCGCATGGGGCCTTTTGATGGGTGCCCTCAAGATGCGGTTTTTGCCAGTTGGGAAGGTAGAAGGGTGAGACATAATTTCAGGAGCAACATGAAGTTCCGGATGCGGGCTGGATAGCTGCGGGTTGGGGAGTTTCTTCTTGTCATTACAAGGGACAAGTATTGAGGGGACTGGGATGCACGCCAGTGTCAGCCAGCATTCAGTCGGGAGGCCGCCTGCTCTGTGGAAACTACCGAGCGTTTGGGGTTGTTCTTGGATCGTCTGCGCAAAGTAATGAGTATAAAGCAAACAGCCGAAAGAACATGGGCGCCTGCTTTACAACTTTTTGGTCCATCACCTTCGTTTGCCGCAAATTTCGTGTTCTGAGGGGAAAGCGGTACAAGTTGCTTCAGTGATTTTAGGGGGGGTTCGGGTTGGGGGGGGTGGGGGGAGCTGGGGGTGTGATTTCGTTCTCTTGACAAGTAGTCGTTCTTTTGTGACAATTAAGGGGCTTAGGGGACGAGATTTCGTTCTCTTGACACCTCGCGGTACACGCTGCTTCAGTGTTTAAGGATGGTTTTGTTTCCTTGCAGGGTGTTTGGAGGTTTTTCTCAAGCTTTTTGCT